AATGTTTTATTAAATGCATGTTTTAATTTGGGCTAAATCTATTACACGGTGATTTTTTATTTACTTATTTTTTGTTGCTGGGCCAGGAGCCGTAGACATTTATAACAGCTTCCACCTAGCAGGAGTTGATTGTGACAATTACTAACTTATTATGGAGAAATTTAGAGCACACTGCACTCCCAGAAAAAAAAAATGAAACATATGAGCGTTTTGTGTTTAACTCTGGGGTAGAGCAACCACATAAAACTGTGGAAAATGTTATCACTGACCTCAGACTGAAAAGAAGGTCATGTAACTATGGTACTGTGCAGGAATCACTGATTAGACACAAACATGTTTTAAGCTACAACTTTCTTAAGACGCATGAGAGGCTTCTCGGTGGCTGTGATCTAACACTGAAAAAAAGCTTTATCTGCTGAGCAGACGAAAAGACAGCTGGTTGTTATGTATAAGGCCATCCCTAAGGAATTATTAAATTAAGTTAGGAAATGCAAGTTACCAGAGATAAAACCAAAGTATGTCCCACCTTCCTCTGACAGGAGACTGAGTACATTGCATGCAATCACTAGCAATGCAGAGCTGTCATGGGTAACGTCGATGCCTAGCATTTCAATACAAATATAGGATTTAAAAAAACAACTAAAATATGAGATAGCACTTTGATATAAAATGTATGTGGACATGTGCATCCAAAAAAAACCTGTGTAAAACCTTTAACAGCATTTACCCCAAAGTGACACACAATACAGTATAAAAATCTACTTCATCATAACTACATGTTAAGGCAACGTTTTGTTGTAGGTCCTGCGGGAAGGGTTCTGATTAGTGATGTCCCGAACTGTTCGCCGAACGGTACGCCGCCGACTCATCATTCAGTAAACTTTGACCCTGTACCTCACAGTCAGCAGACACATTCCAGCCAATCAGCAGCAGACCCTCCCTCCCAGTCCCTCCCAACTCCTGGACAGCTCACTAAGAATGCAGCTTCACAATGGATGCTGTCCAGGAGGTGGGAGGGTCTGGGAGGGAGGGTCTGCTGCTTATTGGCTGGAATGTGTCTGCTGACTGTGAGGTACAGGGTCAAAGTTTACTCAATGATGAGTCCGCGGCGAACCGTTCGTGGCGAACCGTTCGCGAACCATTCGGCGAACAGTTCGGGACATCACTAGTTCTGATACTTGACTTCCAGTCTGTACAACTGGTCAGTAAGCTGTTGAAATCACAGAAATTAAAAATAAAAGTGTCCCTGCTGAATGAATACAGTGTAGTATTTGCTGGACTTGGAAGACTTCCCATGGAATATAAAATTGCTCTAAAGCCTGGAGCAACACCTATTATCCATGCGCCAAGGAAATCTTCAGTGGATTTACGGGATAAACTGAAAACTGACATACACTGCGAGATGGAGTGGAATGTTATAGAACATGTCGAAGAGCTAAGTAAATGGGTTCACCCTGTGTTTTTGTGGTAGAAAAGGGTGCTTTTTTTAAGACTTTGTCTTAATCCCAACGAGTTAAATGCCAGTATTAAGAGGGAGCATTTCCGGATACCATAACGGAATGAAATCCTGCGATAGATGGCAAATGCCCAGGTGTTTTCTAGCCTGGATGCCTCAAATGGATTTTGGCAGATACCTCTGGTATATTGCCTAAGACAATATGTCAATTTCACAAATCTGAATTTACTTGATGAAAAATCATCTCCAATAAGGGTATTAGACCACATCCAGCCATTGAGAAAATGGAATCCCCTATCAAACAAGATTTAAAAATTGCTAAGTACGGTAACATAATTTGGAAAGATCACAGCCAATCTCTCAGACAAAACTAAACACATGAGGAGTTTATTGTTAAAAAAATGTTAAATGGAACTGGAATTTTTTTTACTGAAAAAAATTCTCAGAACTGCCCCTACTTTGTAGTACTTTGCATCAAGTAAAATAAAGATTGCTACAGATGCCTCTAAAGATGGGCTAGGAGGAGTTATTTTACAACATGATGGCAAAGGATGGAGGCCTATTGCATAATCTGCCAGAGAGTTTAGTACATAATATAAGTATGCTCAAATAGAAAGAGAGACACTGAGCATTGCATTTGCTTTTCACAATGTTGTCTATGGCATCTCATCTAAGATTGAAAAGGGACACTCCAGGCACCCAGACCACTTCTGCCCATTGGTCTGGGTGCCAACTCCCATCACCCTTAACCCTGCAAGTGTAATTATTGCAGTTTATATAAGGACTTCTGGCTTCTTAAAACATTAAAAGTGTTTTAAACTACGCTGGACATCCTCGCGCTATGCATGTGGACCTCCAGCATTGCCTGAATCCCCATAGGAAAGCATTCAATAATGCTTTCCTATGAGGAGGGCTAATGAGCTCGCTGTCAATGCGGCACTTGCGCATTAAGTCTCCCCCGCTGGCTGACGTTGGCGGGGGAGGAGCGTGGGCGGAACCTGACCTAGCACAGAGGGACAGGCGCTGGATTCAGGTAAGTCACTGAAGGGTGTGGAGGGAGGGGGGCACTGTAGGATTCTGTAGTGCCAGGAAAACTGATTTGTTTTCCTGGCTCTGGAGAGTCCCTTTAATAACTATTTCACACAAAGTAGCAGAATCTGAAGTGAAAATTATTAAGAGGCTACTTAACAAGGCTCATTACTCAGGTGAAGATGCACACACAGCTTTGCTAAACTATTAAGCACCAAGAATTCAAAGGCTACAGAAATATGATTACATATTGGAACACACCCTGAGATTTGTTAATTGCTGGTACGTTATCACAAATTTGGTGTGTGGATGCAGGAACGTACCTAGGGCATTTGGCACTCGGGGCGGATGCTATATTTGGAAACACCCATTCCCACCCCCCTAACTTTAAAATGTAAAAAACACCCACAAATGTTTTTAATGTATTTAGCACTGAGCAGTGTTTGTGTTTTTTCTAATTTATTTAACACTGAACAGGGGGCATGGCCTGGAAGAGCATGGGGCAGGGCGCACGTTGAACGAACTCTGCACCTCTGGCCGTTTAAACACTTAATTGAGGCATATTTAGAAGCAGAGATCATCCAAAATAAGAAGCAATCGGTCCCTGGGACTGCAGCGGTGAGCTCCCCATGACACTACACAGGACCAATCGATGGCTTTGTGGCAACACCGTCGGACCTGAGAGGCCCTCTACCCGAGGACAAGATGGCGTCCGCCTCTCCGGGCTCAGAGAGTGCGGGAGAATCACAGCTAAAAGGTGACCATGGAGGAGCATTAGCCCAAATCATAGTGCAAGAGCTCCGCACTGCACTTAGGGAAGAACTAACCGGCCTGCGCACTGACCTAAACACGCTGGAGCAGAGACAAAATGGAGACTGCTGCCCAAGACTGCAACCAGCACACAGGGCAACTGAAATAGCGGTTATTAGACAAGGAAAGTGTTTAATGAATAACTCTGCTTGGCTTTCCATATACAAGGCTCTCTAAAATGCTCTTTTTATAAAACAAAAGAGATATCCTGTATGAATTTATCAAAATCAGGGCAGTTCTGATTAAGGTGAAAGAACTGCTTTACTGAAATAACCCTTTTCAAAATCATCCATTACCCTTCCTTTACTTGAATGAGCTTTCAAGGCAGGAACTATTTACATGTAGGGCTCGGTGTCATGAATATTCATTCAGAGCAATGTGACTGACAGAAAAAATCACAGAGTTCTGACAGCTAGTCTTATTTTACACATGACTTGCTCAGTAATGTATACATACACAAGTTTCATGAGTTTTTATTTGCTAAAAAATGGCAAATAAAAATATTAAGTTCTAAAGGAATGAGGGCATTAGAATCAGTATCAGGAAAAGATGGAACCACATGTATTCTATGCTGTAAAATACTGCCATCTAGTGTTCAGATCAATAAACAGTGAAATACTATAAGGCTATCACATCCCCTTATCATTTTTCAGAAAAGTTAATTTGGCCATATTAGCGTTTATCTGGTCAGGCAAGCCTGGCAGGATACGGTTGTCTGTGTTACAGAATTTGAAAATTAATGGTGGATTGGGTGTGCCTGATTTCAGAAATTATTATTACGCAACACATGCTGCACAAGCACTTAATCTTGATATGGATAATAACTGACTTTTGAATGAAAATGATAAGTTGCTTCCTTACTCCATCAAGGAAATATTGTGGCTGCTGCATAAGCTATGCCCCAAGATCAGGGAAATGCTCCCCACCACCATGATGTAAAAGAAGGTAAAGGGAAATGTATGGTGGTCTCGGGCCATGCCAATATCCATTCTGAAATATGTTGAGGCCCCTGTTGTTGATGTTGACTTCTGGAGATCTTTCTCTCTAATTTGGACAATTTCATTTCAAACAATTCATTACTATCCTTCAACAAAATTCAACTTAAATATGATCTAGATCAGGGGTAGGCAACCTTTTAGCAGCACTGTGCCGATATTGGATTGTGATGTCCCGTAGCGTGCCGATCCTATTTTTTTTAAATTGAGGTGTGCATGTTGCCGTATTCTGCTTGTGCTATTTGTACTGTAATTGCTTTGTATTGTTGTATTTGTGCGTATATGAACTATTATATTGTATATGTCCATTAGTAGTTTATGGTATTGTGTATGATACATATGAATGTGGGCTGTGTATGAGGGCTGATTGTGGAATTGTGTGTGGATGGATATGTCACATTGTGTGTTTGGTAGTGTGTGTATGTGTGGGGCTGTTTGGGGTATTGCCCGTGAGAGGCTGGGTGTGTGGTTGTGTGCATGTATGTGGATTGTTAGTGGTGTTGTGTTTGTGGGGATTGTGTGTATGTTTATGTGTTGGCTGTCATTATTTGTATGAGGGGAGGGTTATTATGCATTTCTGTGTATATCTAGCAGTGTGGGTGGCTTCCCTGGGTTCCAGTGGGGATCAGGCTGGCCAGGTACAGGTCAAGGACAGGAGCTGCAACAGCAGCTGCTAGTTGTTCTACTACAGTGTGGATTCCTATTAACAAGTGCCGAGAGGAAGTGATCTGAGATCACTTCCTCTATGTGCTGCAATGCATAAATTGAGGATTGTCCTTCACCACCTCTTCGTATTAGCAGATATCTGAAGTTTTACTGGGTCTCCTGATAGCCAGAGCCTGTTTGGCTCTAGCAGCCTTGAGTGCCGTGCAAAGACACCTTGAGTGCCGTGCATGGCACTAGTGCCGTAGGTTGCCTACCCCTGATCTAGATGATTCAGTTGCCCCTAAATACGAAATTATAGCTAAGAAACTTAGAGAGATTTTTGAAGCCACAATTCTTGATCATAAATATAATCACTTAGAAAAATCCCAGTTGGAAAAAATGTGTCTTGATGTGTCTTGATGACCCAAGTAGAAAATGATGTATATTGCTGTGTTACTCTTATTTATTACACACCAGGCCAAATTAGACTTTATGGAAGCATGGGAGAGGTATCTTCAGAGGAAGCCATCTCTGGATAATTGGCTACACATTACTTTAAATTTAAAAGGTATGGCACAGTGCTTGGCCCATTATAAAGTTCTGTACAACTGGTACTTGACACCATGCTATCTCCAGAAAATTTATTCAACTTCATCAGAACTCACATAGTCCCGTACCCTCATATGTGGTGGCTATGTCCACATATTCAGATATATTGAAAGAGTGTACATGCTGTAGTTAAAGATATTGTTCCCTCCATTGAGAGATTATCACACAAATCGTGTCTATTCAAGATAATTCCTGATGATTTCATGAAAGTTAATAGGATACTAATAGGCCATGTTTTAATTGTGGCTACAATAGTTGTACCCAGTTATTGGAAATCATCTACGATTCCAGTTATAGTAGAAGTTTATTGAAGAAGTTTTAATCCCTGGTTCTAAAACGTAAAAGGTAAGAATTTAATCTTCGTTTACCATCTAGCCTAACTGATTCACTCAAGTACCATTCGAACATTTAAGAGGAAAATGTCAAACGCAAATATTATATATAATTTATATTCCATTTGTTTTATAGTGATTCTGTTAATGTTCCTCACCCAGGTGCGTCTCCATTTGCAGCACATAATATTAATGATCATCCCATGCAAACTGTTTTGTTTTTCAATATTTTGATACATCTTGTTTGTACCGATATATTTCTTATTATAATGATGCTATTGCCAAACCCATAACTGACAGATGTTTTTCCCCTGTTCTTCTACTTATTTTATTGATTTATATATTTTTTATTTTAATTTTTTTTTCTTATTGAATGTTTATTTATATTATCTTGATAAATGTTGATTATTATTATTTCTTTTGTTAAAATTGCAAAACAATTCAATAAAAAATATTTGACAGAAAAAAAATATTTTTAAATAAACACTGATTCCTGATGTTGAGATGAGGAGGCTACTAGGGAAAGTTTTTAATGGATCTAGAGTTAAAAAACTTTTTGGGGGGGCAAAAACCTACAGTGACAGCAAATAAGATTATATTTCAATCTCTAAGGAAATGGGAGAATGATCTGAATAACGATTTGCTAAGATTGGTCCACACAGCAATTTGCTGGAGATGTCTCAAGAGGGAAGGATAACTGTTACATATTTGGTGGGGCTGTCCTCGTATTAGGCATTTTTGGGAAAAGGTCTACAATCTGATTGAGATCACGATTAATATTTCTTTAGTAATGAAACCTGAGATCGCCCTATTACATCTTGGCTGGTATAAAATGAGTCAAAGAAATATTAAATTAATCATACACTGTTTAATGGCAGCAAACCTTTTGATAGCCAGACAATGGAAACAATGTAATTCCCCTTCTGAGTGTCAACTTAAATATCAGTTATTTCGGATAGAACATGAAAAATATAAAAATTTAAATTAATAGCAACTTTTTAGTCTGTCAGTTATATGATGACTTGATTAAAAGGATCAAAAATAAATAAATTGATTTTTGTTTTTATTAGAACTTACTACGCATATCATTGTTAAGGTTCACTATAATTCATGATGTTTTGTCTTTGTTCTGTATGTCGTGTGTCGTCAAAATGTCTGTTACATTCTTTGGTCATTTATATGTATACAAAATATTTTTTCTACTAATAAAAAAAAGAAGAGCGACAGAGATAAACTGCAACTAAACAGCAAATTGTATTTAGGCTAAAAAAAGTAAAATAAAAAATGTATTTAAAAATCATTTTGTATAATTTAGGTTTTGATCTAGATTACATTTCCACTTAAATAAATGGCTACCTAAAATATTTTGTAGCCAATTTAGACACACTTCTAGCCACACTCCTAATGTGAAAGTGTCCCTTTCTAGCCTTTAAAATGTTGGGAGGTAATGGTTTGTAGGCTGTATGTACACGTAAAATCATTTCTTTCCTTGACAGACAGCACCGACAATAAACATTCTGTAGGGTGATCTGTGGGACTAAACAAAATTGAACAGTTTCACTACCCCTTATCATAAAGAAACAATCCCACTCCTATAACAAGCTAAGATAACTTGAATAAAAATAGTATATACTATTTCTCCTAATATTCACCCTGATAAACCTTCCTTATACTGCAGTGCAGAGAGGAAAAACATAGGAAGGCAGAAGTGCTGGGCGTCAGAGCCCTGACTATGTGGTTGAACTAGGGTTACCATATCCTCCATTTTTTCAGGGACACATATAAATATTGATGGGCAGCACATAAAAATGGGTTGCCCTGTAGTATGTAAAATTCTGAAGAAGGTGATTAAGATTAAGTGATTAGGAAATGAAAAATCCTGCAGAATATGCATTATACATACTGCAGGGCAACCATTTTCATGTGTAAAACTCTAGTCTCCATCTTACATATAGAACAGACTCTATGCAGAGCACGGAGACACTGAACGCAAGTGCTGCACACTGTGCAGCAGTGACACAGGAAGCATTTCTAGTGGCCTTCTGAGTGATGGTGTTTAGAGCTGTTACTACGGAAAAATGTAAACACTGCTTTTTCTCTGAAAAAGCAATGTGTTCATTGTTGAGCCTGCAGGGACATCCTGTAGACTTTAGCAGCAGGGACATTAAGCTATAGTGGTTTGGCGACAATAGCGTGCCTTTAAACGGTACCACTTAACATCCACGGATACGTATGTTACTGCAATAACAATAAGATCTCCAGAAATTAAAGTCAAGTTAATATTAAGCTATCCAGGTTAGTAACGTAATTCTGAACATGTTAGAACCTAACTTAAGTAGACTTGGCTTCAAAACAAAATAGAATATGAAATCACCAGACTGTATATTCCACTATATATCCCCTTTAATAGCACTGGTCATTTTGAAGAGGAAGTGATGCATTTACTATATTCCCCTTGATGTGGCAGAATAGGTGTCTTATATGTGGTTTTATTTAAAAAAGTAACTGCAAGATTCCAGTACAAGCATACGAATCAGATTATTTACAGGAAGTGACAAGATTCACCAGAAACAAAAGTTTAAATGATAGTTGAAAATGCTATGTTTAACTCCTAGTATAATAAATGCAGGTGAGTTTCCTGGTATATGAATAAGATGCACATAAAGGAAGCAGTGACTTTTTTTTTTTTAACTGGATGCAGACAGTAAGGGGGTGGTATCTCATCACAGTCATGATATGGTGAGTTCTATCCCCTCTAAAAGGGACAGTAGAGAAAAATATTAAGATATATACTTTTATCATAGTAAAACAGATGTATTAATTCAAAAACGTATTGGCCACAGCTATACAGTGGTATGTTTAAGTAATTTTAACAGTGTTGCAGAGAGGGAGCCCTGGCACAGGCTTTAGTTCAAAGTAGGCATAATCATATTAACAGAGTATACTACATGGATTCCTGAAAAATTCAGCTTGGTTTAATACATTTTTTTTTTGTGGCACAAGCCAAGAAGTCAAGTAAGTAGAAGAAAATATATTCTAGCATAAAGTCAAAGTATATGATATGTGCTTATCCCACTACACAAACATTTTGTGAATACATTTACAACCTGCTGTGCACGTTTGAGGTATCCTTGCTCATTTTTGGAAGTATTTCAGTAATATTTTACAGGGTGCAGTAATAGCTTGTAAATTGTAACATAATATAGTAGTCATTGATAACATTACTACTGCAATTGGTTTGGGAGCAATATATCCCAGAGTGTCATTAAAAAAGGCATGTCAGTAATATATATAGTTAAGGATATATTGTTTTCCTTATATAACATGCTCTAAGGTCTGTTCATAAATTATGTGACGTTCCAAAAGAAGGTTCTGCAGGACCCAACAATTTTAGGAATTAAAGAGACAAGTTATAGAGACCAAAATGATCATAAGTATATACTTGGTTATTTAAGTTATTTATATCACACGTCATTGTGCACTGTGCAGAAAACACAACCAATAATATATTTCTCCTACATTATCGGATCATCATTGCATCTTCAGGGTATGCTTATAAAAATTGTTCCTGACAAATGCAGAATGGCTCAGAGAGGATATGAAGATCAGGGCCGCTATCAGGGGGGGTACAGGTAATACTCCTGCAAGGGGCCCGGGCCATACTATCAGTTTACTGCTTAGCGAGGAAGCCTGGGTGGCTGTCTGTATCCTCCGAGCATGGCTATCAGAGCCACAGCAATGTCTGACACTGCAATCTGTTCGCAAGAAGAGACTGGGCAGCCAGCAGAGTGCCACAGGACTCAATGGACCACCAGGGAATACATGTCCCCTCTCTCTGTCCCTTACCTTTGCCATATTTAGAAAATATAGACAAAAACATGCTCCACTCACTGCCCACAGATGACAGCTCCTATCCCACCCCACAAAGACAGGGAGACATCCTCAATACAGGCCAGGCCTTGAGCTGGGTAAGAGGCCCCAATACTTCTGATGGCAGTCCTGACCCTAGTATATAGTAAACAGTGCTCTCCTAATGTATAAATGTACAGTATGTTGTTCCTAGCTTTACATTCCTGTTGGGAGTTCTGAGATTGTGTCATACAAATTGTAGCATCATTCTGATATGGTGTTTGGTTCTCTAGTAGTTCACAGTCTGCCAACGTAACCACAAATTCTAGCTTGGCATGAGGTCACTGGAATCAAGCAGAGTTGCCCAGAGGAAAACATAGAAAACCACACAATGATGGTGAGTGAAGACGTTCTGTGTTTTTAAAATGCCACTCTGAATACTGCATTGCGCAATGTGAATAAGTTCATTCTAACAATGTCCA